CTATTGTATCAATGCATGCATTTATATCATAGTGATTCATAACAATACAACGATTTAACATATGCAACTTCCAAACGACCCCTAACTAAGTAAACTCAAGAGGTAGCGCAAGTGGTTTAATTTTAGGTAACTAGTTTGCGGAGCGAGAGCATGAAAGCGTCTATCTTCAAAGAATTCAAGATGAAGAGTGCTTAAAGAGTGTCATTATTATATTAGTATTTATTACATTTTATAATAGTTAATATAAAAATATATTATTTTAATATTTAATATATTAAATTAATACAAATAAATATAAAAATGTAAGAAATTTAGTAATGCAGAAACACAAAAGGAAAAAAGTTATTTACCCAACAACATAAGGAGAGTCATATTTATCTATCATTTATTAATTCTACCTACCTCCCCCATTCCTCAATTTCCATCTTCCATTATATATAAAAAATTGATCTTCTTCCGCTCAACTACCATTACAAAATTGGGGGGAAAAACTAAAAAGTAAAAAATCGCTCTTTCACCTCTCATTCGGCACTCACAGTCCACACAAACCCTAATTCCCCACACAATCCTCACATTTTCCAATCTCCGCCGCTGCTCTCTTCTTATAAGAAAATCCCAATTCATATTCTCTATTTCTAGCTCCCTTTCTCAATCTCCTTCTTCTGGCGCCGCATCCTCTTCCTCTGTGGCACCTCTGATCCGTGTCCGGATCTGCCCAGATCCAAGTTCCCCGAATTGTCCCCCTACGATCCGGTTTCCTAATCCATGATGTAAATCGATGTTGTGGCTAGAAAACCCTAGCCACTTGCAGACCCCTTCTCCTCTCCTTTCTCACCGAAAAATCAAAATCCATATATGGTCTTCCTGTCCGTATCGGCTATAACTGTCGATCTACTTCTCTTATCTTCTATTTCATTCCGATTCCATGTCTCTCCTCTCAATATGCTCACGATTCTCTATCTCCTCTAGAATAGCAACGACACGGCGAGATCTCCTCCTAAACACCGGGGAAGCAGTGAGATCTCCTCAAGAACAGCGGCGGCGTGGTTACGACGAAACTCCTAGCGACCGACGAATCTCACGAAGCGACGACGACAGATGGTGTTGTTGACAGCTGCGGACAAAACTCACTACTCGCCATATATTTTTATATGCCTTTCTCTTTGATCTGATAAGGTTTTTTAATTTCTGGGTTGATCTTGTTTGATTTTTTTTTTTATATTGGGTTTTGATTCTAGAGGGAGGCGCAGTGTCATAAGGAAGGAGGTTTCTCCAGCAACATTCAGTTTAGCCACAGTGACAGATGCAAGAGGGGAAAGTGGTGAATTGATTTAAGTTTTTTCTTACTCTTTTCTATTCTGTTTACTGATTCTGAGATGGTTTTTTTAAAGGTTTTTCTTACTGATTCTTCAAATCGATGATTAGGATTAGGGTTTTAAATGGCCAATCTGGAGTTTGGATGTGGATATAATACTGGGGATTGGTAGTTTAGTAAATCTTGGTTGAATGCAAAATCTTGGTTTTGAAGAGGTGACGTTAGATCTGGACAAAAAAATAAATTGCGAATACCTAAAAATGTCTTCCAGAAAATTAAATTGTGAAATGTACTAAAATGAATCAAAAAAATTAAATTGAACGAAAAAGAGTAAATTACTCCAAAAAAGTCGCAGAAAGTGCAGTTTCTTGTAGTGAAATATAATCGTGTAATATGACGAACAATTCTCCCAAAATCACCAGATTATGACAACTGTATTGACAAATATGTCGTCATAACATCTGTGTTGTCACAATAGACTACCCAAAACCCCAACTATACTAAAGCAAATGTGGCAAGCTTATTTTAAATTTTGTCACATTTAACCTATCTTAACGGCGATAAAATGACATAACTTTGTGACAACACCTTTTGTCATATTATACCTAATATGACAAAATGGATATCTAATATGACAAAATTGTCTCATCATAATAGGCCTAATTTGTTGTAGTGCGTGACCTTGGCCTCTTCTTCACTTTTTGCGTTTTTCGACATCCAATTGTCCCAAAACTCATACTCGACCTTTCCGCACATGTACCCAGACCCATCTCGTGGTAGGTCAGGTCCAGGTTTGGTAATTTATCACGGGTCGCAGGTCGGGACAGGTCGATCCAATGGGTATGCAATTTATATGAAAAAGAAAAACATTAGAAATATTTGTTATTTTATTATAAGACCAAGAAAACAAACAATATTATGATAAATGTAGTAAAGTTATTAGAGAAATTGAGGTTTCACTAATTTACAACTTTAAAGCTAAATTATGACGTAATAAAAGAAAATTCATAAGTAATTTGACTAAGATTACATGTAATTTACGCAAAAAGGGGTCGAGAATGGGGCGGGTCAGGGCAGGTCGGGTCGATGAGAGTACCCATGCCCGCCCGCCCCAAAACAGGCCAAACAAGTCGGGTAAAACGGGTCAGGTCGAAATTGCCATCCTTACGCACATGCTAGGACCTGAAATATATCAAAAGGAACACAACCTAGCGTAAAATAAGTCGAGGAACGACGATTACAAAGTCAAATGATGAAGAAATGAGGGGTAAAATATGAGTAATTATGCCTGAATCACCGGTCATGACCATCCATCAACCTTGGCACCTAAGGTAATGGAGAAACTCATTACAACCCTGCATGAGCCTGCTTCTCCGGTTGGGCGGATTGTGGTGTGCGGGCCAAAATGGCTTGGCATCTATCAAGATTACTTTCGGTTCGAGCTACGCTTTTCGATCGATCCCATTATTGAAGGAATCTTAGCATCTTGTGGCTGTACCATCGGGCGCCTATCTCCCTCAGGCTTCAGTCATTCTGCTTGTAGTGTTGTACAACTTTAACCTATTCCGCCACTTCCCCCATGGTATCTCTTGATAACTGTTTGTCGCTACAGAGGCGCACGAGGATACCATGCATCTTCGTACGTAAGTACCCAACCGACATATGCGTATGAAGGGCCTTTTGGCTCCGTCACAATATACATAGTACGTTTTGGTAAATAAATAATTTATTCATGTTTATGGTTAAACAATGAGTCAAACTAATCATTTTGAAGTGGTATTACAGTATCTTGCCACTACACCAAAACCCAGTTCTTGTTATATGTATTTAATATATATTTATATTATGAAAAATTAGACCTAATTTCAAATTTCGACTCCACCACTACCCACCATATTGAAATGGATCCTTAGAAAACCAACTCATTATCCTTCCTAGCCAAGACAACCACGAAGGCAAAGCCGGCAACCCTCACCATACAATGTGGGTTTTATCTTAGTAAGAAAAGAGAAACGGTAATGTCTATTTTTTTATCCAAATCTTTATTAGATTATTTTATATTATCCAAACCTATTAAAATTGTATTAATTAGCCAAATCTTTCATAATGCATCAAAATATTAGCCATTTTTATGTTATCGTTAATAATTTTGTAACTCTTCTTTTATTTAAAATACTAAAATTTTGGAATGTTGACCTTCATGTGTCTCTTTCAAGTCAGTATCATATTGTCAAGTCAATATTACTAACAATATTGCTTATTGAAAGTAACATTTGTCTAATTCTTAGTATTTCGATAAATTTGAAAAATTTAAAAGAATTTGAAAAAAAAATGAATAAAAAATAGATATTACCCAAAAAGAAACAAGGCGAGCTAACTACTATGGACAAGCCCACTACTATGGACAAGCCCATACAAAATAGGCTGGGCTAATAACATCAACAATGCCTGCTCATTGCTCACGATCACCCCGCAAATTAATTCAGCAGTGAGTAAAATTTCAACAAAGAAAAGTTAAGGAAATAGTTGGAGAAGGAACAAACGTAAGAGTTGATGGGCAGAATTGATAGGAAATCAGTGAGCAAAATTGAAATGATTGCCGATGCCGAAAATCTCGTCCCTCGCAGACACAGAGAGACACAGCCTTTTTCCACTATGACCAACCAACACAAACAGTAATCAACCACACCCTGCCCCTGCTCCACATTGTCGCATTTGGATCGGACGTACCCATCTCAGATCATCATTACCGTTGAATGTGGAGCGACGGGGGAAAATCACACTTCATGCTTGCAATAATTCATCATTATTATGAAAGATAACAACAAGTGTTTGGATGCCTTACTTTTTTGCTTTCTTTTTTTTTTAGTTGCGTGTTAGACTGCCTGTCTTTATGTATTAACAGTTCATCGGGCTAAAGGTTTCTTGAAACAAATTGTCCTGTGCCCGCCGGAGCCACCCTCCTCCATCATCCGACTGCCGCCGGTGGCGGTGGAGATGCCTAGAAGACTGAACCCCCTGCTTTAATAAAAACATCAATTAATTACACTCTATTGTAAGATTACAAAAACACCCCTCATCCTCCCAAAATTTGCCGTGCAGTCACTATCCTGCGCCTCATGCGTGCAGGTCACTACCCCACGCACCAGAGAGGCAGAGACAAACTCCCCTTTCCCCTCCTCTCCTTTCTCCTCGTCTCTTCACTTTCGCTTTCACCAAAACAAAACCACAGATCTCTTCCTTCTTCACAGTCCGCAATCCCAGCCATGTCTAAATCCTTCACCCCCGAACACACCCATCATAACTACCCACATAAAGCTCCCAACTTTCCCTTGTTTATAACTCTATCAGCTGTAGCAGCAGCAGCTGCTGCTTTTTTCGATCCCGTATTATTATTCTGCTAATGAAGCTACTTTCTCGCAGTGGTGCCAGTCTAGCTGTATAATCAAACCCACAAATTTACTCATTGCCTCCATTTCTCCTCTGCCCTTTTGAGCTTTTCGTTCTCTCTCTCTCTCTCTCTTTCTGTCTCTAAAGACTTTTGCTTTCATTTTGATCCTGTGAACCAAATCCCTAAAATCCCTCCCACCCCTTTTCCCTCTCCCCTCGTCTTCTTCCATCTCCCTTACTCCCGCTGAGCTGGAAGAAAGGAATCAAAGTGGGGAGGGAAACCTACCAAATGGGTATGAAGCTGAAGCCATCCCTGTTGTTGCTGCTTCTCACCTGCACAGCTCTTAGCTCCAAATCCCACCCGAACGATGAAACCTGCCTAACCTCTTTGAAACAATCCCTCAAAGACCCAACAAACTCGCTCCAAAACTGGACCAAACCCAATTTCGCCAACCCATGTTCCGGTTTCACTTCCTACCTCCCGGGCGCCACCTGCAACAATGGCAGAATCTACAAGCTCTCCCTCACAAATCTCGCGTTACAGGGCTCCATCTCGCCGTTCCTCTCCAACTGCACGAATCTCCAGTCCCTCGATTTGTCCTCCAACTCGATCTCGGGCCCTCTTCCGACGGATTTGCAGTACCTGGTCAACCTAGCGGTGCTCAATCTCTCTGCCAACAGCCTGGAAGGAGAGATCCCGCAGCAGATTGCAATGTGTGCCTACTTGAACGTGATCGATTTGCACGAGAATTTGCTCACGGGTCTAATCCCGCAGCAGCTGGGGCTGTTGGTGAGGCTGTCAGCGTTTGATGTGAGTAATAACAAGCTGTCGGGCCCAATCCCAGCCTCGTTGGGGAATAGGAGTGCGAATTTGCCGAGATTCAATGCTACTTCCTTCCAAGGCAACAAGGATCTTTATGGGTACCCTTTGCCTCCTATGAAGAGTAAGAGTTTGTCGGTCTTGGCCATTGTTGGGATCGGCTTGGGGAGTGGGCTGGCGAGCTTGGTGCTCAGCTTTGCCGGGGTTTGTATATGGTTGAAGATCAGTGAGCAGAAGATGGCGCTTGAAGAAGGCAAGATCACCCAGCTTATGCCTGAGTATTGATTGATTAGGATTGGGAGTTGGGTGTTGGTTCTGGTATGTTTTCTCATTGGCCAGTCGGTTTTCTGTCTAGTCCTGCTGTCGATTCATGGTTTGATTGGTTCAGAAATTAAAGTAGAGAAGAGACGAAAAATTGTCTTGAGGTATAGTTCACTTCACGAGATTACTACTGAAAGTAAAGCCAAAAAGGACAGAAAGATGAAAAAGAAGTTGGCAAATTTGATCAGGTGTATGAATGGCTGTTGGGATGCTTCCTCTTTGCTCTGGTGAGGCTTTTTTGGTAAATTTTTTTGGGGGGGTATTTTGCCCACTTTATATACAACTATTAGTGAGGGATTATTGTATAAAAGTTTGATTAACAACGAGTAGTGCAGAGCATAAAGATTTGTTCGTTCCACTTATTTTATTTTATCTCCATCCATTCAGTCAATGGTCTAATGCAGGTACGTGACTATCAATTTTATTGCAATCTCACTCACGCACGCATTCTCTCTCTATCACAGCAAGCTTCTGTACAAGATAAATTTGTCTTCTTCTGAGGTTTAAAATAATATTTGGGCAGAAACCACAAATGGGTAGTGGGAAAGTTTTGATTTTTAGTATCTTTGGACTGTGGAGTGGAGGAATCCTCTCCTGGAAATGGAATTGGGTGCATTTTATAAGAAGTGGGGTTTGATGAGTTCTTTCTTCTGGTGCTTAGTTTGGTATAGTGGTGAGGTGAGCTGGTAGGAGACCAAACACCATCCACAGCAACATGGACTGCAGACTGCTGTCTTGCTTGTTTATCATGACAAAATAGAGGGGAAAGTGTGGCTTCTATTTCTATAGCTTGCCAAAACTTTGCTTCCCAATCCCGTTTTTTTCCCTTTGGGGTTTTCAGTTTTCTTTCATTCATTCTAGCATTCCAATTGTGCAAGTCTTGTGCTCGTTTTTCTTCCTAAAGCTATTTTGTTTGTGATTACTTATTAGTTTTGGGGAGAAGATCAAATATAGATTTTTAATATAATTTTTTTAATATTCTCTATTAAGTAGAAGTATAGTTTTTGCCCTTTTTTTTTTTTTTTTGCCAAAAGCTCACTTGAATTACCAAGAAATATAGATATCACTGTTTACAACCCAAACAAAAACCACGACCTATAGTAAAAACCAACCACACCAGTAGGAAACAAAGAAATAACTTTTTTAGTCACAACATGAGCCGCTTGATTGCTTTGCCCGCACCGATAGTCGACATAGAATCTGTAAACATTTGACGCAACTGAGAAATCTCTTCAAGAATTGCCCCTTCGAGTCCATCTCGAACCTCATGTCCCCTGATTTTGAAGACCACCGTTTGCGCATCTCCCATGAAAGCAACCTCCGTCAAACCTGCATAGACAAAACCTTTCATAAAAAGAGTAGAACCTCATTGATCCTATATCACCATCCCATCGGCGGAATGCAATCCCGAGCTAACCGCCCCGTCCACAAAACAAATAAACGACGTGTTGGCGCCGCCGCCACCGATTGCCCTCCCCATTCGGTTGCCGCCCAATACCTTATGCAGGCACCTCCAACCACTCCCTTACCTGATTATGGTACTGACGAACAAGGGAATCCGTAGTATATTGGACATGATCAAACACCACTCAATTCCTAAATTCCCAGATCCACCATAACAAGGCAACTAGTCACATTATTCTCCCTGGTTCATCATTCCTCTCTACAATAAGCCTGAAGAGCAGGGTTATATTGAATCCCTCCAAACCCTGTCTTTCTTCCATCAAACCACACCACACCCACATCTCCTCTACCACTCTACAATAAAGAAATAGTTGTTTTAAGGACTCTAGAGGCCCCTCACAGATAGGGCACGTAACCGGATCACCCCCACCCTTTTCACTCAAGGCTTCCATCGTAGGAAGAATACGACGCATAAATTGTCAAAGAAAAAACTTCAACTTCGGAGGAATTGGAAAGTTCCACATCTTTTGCAAAAACTCATATCACAAAAAGAGACTTCCGTTTTCCATCTTCTCATTCCACGCTTTACCTGAACAGCTAAGTGATACCCCGATTTTACTGAATAACACCCATCCACTTCTTTCTTCCATGTCAATCTATCCGGGATTGATAACATAGACAATGGGATGTTCAGAGATTTTCTGTTTGCCTTCAACCAGAAAACAATTGTCGAAGCATTCCCCACACCAAACACCTTCTCCTGGCCAAATCAAGTCACTAACCATCGACGTTTCTGACAATGGGGCGCTCGACAGGACTGGTAAAAGGTTTTCGACCAATCCCGGGACCCACGAGTCCCCAAACACCCACACGCAGTCACCAGTTCCCACTTGCCACCCAAGCTCTCTTTGCAATAAATCACGTCCATACAATATATTACGCCATCCCCACGGAGGCCTGGAACCTAGTCTTGCAGTCAAAACACTCCCACTATAGAAATACTTCCCCTTAAGAACCTTAGCTAGTAAGGAATTTGGCTCATTCAAGATACGCCATGCCACCTTAGCTAACAATGCTTGATTAAAATCCTCAAAGCGTTGGAAACCTAGACCCTCATCGAACGTGCTACGACATAAGTTTCTCCAAGACACACAATGCGCCTTATTCCCTTATACAGTAAAACCCCACCAAAACTTAGCCAAGTATTTATCCGGTTTCCTGCAGAGAGTCACTGGCAACATAAAATACGACATCACATGAATTGGTAATGCGACAGCAACTGATTTTAACAAAATCTCCTTTCCCGCCCATGATAAATGGCATTGCTTCCAAGATAATTATCTTGAACGCCAACAGCAGCTACACCTTAAATAGCCGTCATTTGCTGACTATCAGTGTGATCCACATTTCGGCTAAAACAAACAACATATTTCTGCAAATTCACTTTTTGCCCACTCAATTTGTGATATTTTGTAGAACTCCCAACAGAATATGACATTCTAACACCGAAACCTTAAAAAATAAGTACGAGTCATCAGCGAAAAATAAGTGAGACACACTCGAACACCGTGGGTTCACCTTAACACTAGTTAATTTCTTTTCCACCACGACCTGCTTTAACAAAGCTGAAAAGCCTTTCGTACAAATCGCAAACAATAATTGCGACAATGGATCACCCTGCCTCAATCCACGCGAGGACCTAAAATACCCACCGAGATTCACATTCATCAATACTGAAAAAGTCGCTGAAGACAGACATTCATTAATCAAGTGAATCTATTGAGTATAAAACCCCATTTTTCTGATAACCGCAAGTAAAAATTGTCATTCCACTCTATCATAGGTCTTTTCCATGTCAACCTTTAAAGCCATATAGCCCTTCTTCCCTTACTTATTGATATTGAGGTAATGCATAATCTCATGACCAATAAGAATGATATCAACTATTTGCCTATCCTGGACAAATCTGTTCCGCTCAAGTGAGATCAATTTGGGGAGATGATTCACCATTCTCTCTGCTAGAATATTAGAAATAATCTTATAGAACATTTGACACAAACTAATCGGTCAAATTTGATTCATTGACTTAACTACATCAATTTTTGGAAGCAATGTCAGCCAGGTATGATTAAACAATTCAGAATTCTTCCTGTGCTGAAAAAATATTGAACAACTTCAATTATCAAGTCACCAATGATATCCCAGTATGTTCTATAGAATTTTCTAGTAAACCCATCAAACCCGGAGCCTGAGTAGACTCAATGGAAAAACCATTCTCTTAATCTCTTCTAGTAAGACTATTGCAGTTAATTCAACATTCATTTCTCCAGTGACCACTATCTCCAACGGCAGTGCCTCAATCCTTGCATCCATATCTGTAACACCCTACCCTGTATGTTTTACCCGATCATATTGTTCACACAATTGTAGCGGAATTTAAAACTGGTGTTACATTAATTACTAAAAATCAAATAAAATTTTGACATGTATTACTCACGTAATGGGCTAACAGTTCTTGCAACTAGATGCAAAATAATTCATCCGAATCCCTGCATTCGTAGACATACATATATACCCATAACGATATACATTGGCTTTCATAGCCATAGTCACAGTTTCATACTCCACAACTGCATACCATACTTATACATGCCACAATCATCAAAACTTACACAATTACACAAATATACACATATCATCAACTTTCCACACATGTGGATATCTCACTCTACTTCAAAAGCTAGTATGCACATGAAAAACATTCTCAAAACATTTTTACAAAAGGGTGTGGATCACTGGCCAAAATCCCAAGTAGTCGTCCAAGCACAGAATAGTTGAAGACCATACCTCATCTTGGCTTCAACTCTAGCTCCTCTCCCACCTAACACTTATCTACTGCTGCTGCTGATGATCTGCTTACACATAGCATAAGCAGAGAAGAAGAATAAAAGAGGGTCAGCTCATAGCTGAGTGAGATAATCATAGCATCGTGAGTTCATAACAGAGCATACCCCTACCATACATCTAGAAACAAGCCAAAGCACTAGGATTAGACATCAGGCATCCGACATCCCAATATGCAAAAGACTCAACCACCTTGACTTTATGCATATGCATCTTATCATGTTTTACTTATAGGCGCCTGGCTACTCCCATGCTAATAACTCTCCCGGGAAACATACCCCACATCCCGTCGGATGTAGTCATACATACCCCAACATCCCGTCGGATGTGGTCATACATACCCCACACCACTATGGGTGTAGTCATACCCTGACACCGCTCTGGGTGTGGTCATATCTCGTAAGAATTCTTCAGTCACCACCACATGAGAGGTGTGACTATCATACATATCATAATAGAATAATAGCATAGGGAGCCCTAATTACTATGTAGTTGACCGTGAGACCACAACACTCATATTTGGTATCCTTATACATGATTCATATCTCATCTTGCTTAATCATAATTCATTACTTGCACATGTACTTGACCTGGCCATAATTGGCTCAACATAGGTAAATCAGGAGTCGTATAATTGCACTTCCTCGGGATAAACC